GACTGGGTTTATACTGGTTCTGGTTCAGACTGGGTTTATACTGGTTCTGGTTCAGACTGGGTTTGTACTGGTTCTGGTTCAGACTGGGTTTATACTGGTTCTGGTTCAGACTGGATTTGTACTGGTTCTGGTTCAGACTGGATTTGTACTGGTTCTGGTTCAGACTGGGTTTATACTGGTTCTGGTTCAGACTGGGTTTATACTGGTTCTGGTTCAGACTGGGTTTATACTGGTTCTGGTTCAGACTGAATTTATACTGGTTCTGGTTCAGACTGGGTTTGTACTGGTTCTGGTTCAGACTGAATTTATACTGGTTCTGGTTGAGACTGGGTTTGTACTGGTTCTGGTTCAGACTGGGTTTATACTGGTTCTGGTTCAGACTGGGTTTATACTGGTTCTGGTTCTGGTTCAGACTGGATTTGTACTGGTTCTGGTTCAGACTGGGTTTATACTGGTTCTGGTTCAGACTGGGTTTGTACTGGTTCTGGTTCAGACTGGGTTTATACTGGTTCTGGTTCAGACTGGATTTATACTGGTTCTGGTTCAGACTGGGTTTATACTGGTTCTGGTTCAGACTGGATTTATACTGGTTCTGGTTCAGACCGGATTTATTCTGGTTCTGGTTCAGACTGGGTTTATACTGGTTCTGGTTCAGACCGGATTTATTCTGGTTCTGGTTCAGACTGGGTTTATACTGGTTCTGGTTCTGGTTCAGACTGGATTTGTACTGGTTCTGGTTCAGACTGGGTTTATACTGGTTCTGGTTCAGACTGGGTCCTACTCAGTCTGGTTCTGAACTTACTGGGACAACTGGGCTTTTTCACCAGTATGAAACTGGACTGGGAGTGGTGGATTTTAACTCCTTTGAGTTTCACAACAAACTTAACTGGGAATACTGGAAATAATCCTCTTGTTGCATCAGTTTATACTGGGATTATTGCTGGAGCTGACGCCGTGGTTAAACTGGGCGAGTTACTGGTTTTCCACAAGCTTGTTCCTGCTAGAGGTGTTTAGGTTTTAAACTGGTTTTAAAGTGGCTTCCAACTGAATTTATACTGGGAATACGGCTTCATGTGTCACTGGCTTTAATGGTCAGATCAGACTGCTTACTGGTTTCAATGGTTTTAATGGGCGGTCCAGACTGGTCCCTGGTTGAAAGCAGAAACGTCTTCTGGTTCCTGCTGCTTTGTCTGATTCTGGGTTGTTTTGGTTTTCACTGGTTTAACTGGTTCAATTGGAGCGTTTGGGAGTTCAGGCTGAATGGAAACCAGAAGTGAACCTTCCTCTTCCTCCTCCTCCTCTTCCTCCTGTCAGCAGCGGCTCAGGTGTAATTTCGGTTCCCGGCTCGGTCTAATTACAGTGTCTGACTGTCCGCCACAAACACTCTTCTTTCCTCTTCATCGCCGACCTCTGAGGAAAACATCTGGGAATCTGTTGGATTCAAATCCTTTAACGGCAACGAAGAATTTGGAAAATAAATTATTTGGATTTTTGAATCTTGAAATCTGAATATTTAAATTAGTTAATGGAAGAATCTGAGATTAAACTAGTTTTCTGATCTCAGTTTGTTTTGTGTTCACACATCAATCCGGTTTGGGAATCTAAACTGTTGCTCTGGAAAAACTTCCAGGCTTTTCCCAAAGACCATCCGCCATGTTTTCCTGTGACTGGGTGAACTGGATCACCAGAAACTGGACTAATCTGGGAGATTAAATCTTTAAATAGAACAGTAATGATTCCCAGGAGGAGAGAAAACTGGGACGACTCGCTCTGGGATCTTTGGGAAACCTTGGAAAGTTTCTGGATTACTTTTAGAAACGTTAGCTTAGTGGACGTTTTCTGTTCTGGGCAGATTGATGCTTACTGCCCCCTGCAGGTGGGAG